TGGCCGATGAAGCTACGGTACGACGTCAGTTTTATCAATGCCTTCCCTTGCCACCAAGGACCTCATGGTACGAAGCAATGACATGTTCAGATTGATTGTCTCATGCTGACTTTAGCCCAGTTCTATTCTATGACTTTTCGTACAAAGCAATCAAAATCGATGAAGGCCTTGTAGACATTACAGATTGGGGTCTGCAATCCGGTCGCACACCTCGACCTACCTCGTCCAAGTCATCACCCGGCAAGAAGGCACTGGCACTCATGAATGAGCAGAAGAAGAGTGCTCATGAGCAGGTTACGAATGTGCTGGCCATTGAGGCACTTGGTGTCAGTGACAACGAGGTATTTGCAAGAGCTTGGTGCGCCCATCATGGACACAGTGCTATCGTTGCGAATATCAAAGAGACGTGCATGGCTTGTGCTATCAGAGAAGCATATGCAGCCTGTGTATCAGTTGTCATCCTCACGGAAGGCGGTGTTGTCAAGGAAAACGATACTGATCTCAGCGTGCTTGAAGATTTCTAACAGCAGGGTCTGGGCTGGCAAACGGAAGGGATTCTGGAGAGGGAAGGGAGGAGGGCATTGGGATCTTTACGGACTGGTGTTTTTGGCATACATTTTGAGGACTCATTCGAGGGGTTTTTGCTTTGGTGCAAACACCTGCAACCCACATGCATGTTTCCTTTGTCTAGAACCGTGCAACTGCTTAGGCGGGTATTATGAGCATGAAACGGTGCGACGTGGAATTAACGACTGTAATGATAACTCATGGAATTATGGAGTCAATGGTTATGATTGTATAGTTATGTACATTGAATGTACGCATTTGCTTTGGAGATACTCTGATTGATTTTAGTGAGTGATTTATCTAGCAGAAAGAAGTATTCGATACATGGAAGTATGCTCGAAGGATAGAACAGTCACGTGCTGATAAGGCATGTTATCGTCCTTGCGCTGACGTTTGCGGGACTGGGACGCGGCTATCTCATGTCCATCAAACTTCGCTCACGGCCACGTACTGTTACGCCGCGCAAAGAAGCCTATGCGACTTGGCAAGCTTCTCGCGCCATTTAGAAAGCAATCAGAGCCTTGCTGCATAAAATGCTGTGCAGGCAATGATAACCACTTGTCCGTTGCGCCTTCCCTCCGCAACACTCCGACTAAGGCTGTGCTTTCTCAGTGAAGCGTTCATCATTGCCTCTCTCATCCTTGACGTACACTTGTACGACCACGACTAGGCCTCTTTGTGTAGGGCTGCACGACAACTGTTAATCTGCGTCTCCCCCTTTATCAATTACCTGTTCGCTGGCTGTCGACGCCATGGGCCGTTCAACGATCCCTTCCGCACTCAGCGAGCTCTCCAACCCTACCACGCCCGAGGCACAAGTCGCAGCGCTACAAAGCCTAAAAAACGAACTTGTGGGGCATGAGCAGAGAAAAGAGCTTGCTGTTACGCATGGTATTGTGAAACCACTTGCCAGTTTGCTGCGAGCCGAGGCTAGGAAGGGCGGGAAGAGGCGAAGGAACATTGGGAACGGGAACAGCTCTGGGCTGTTCGGTGACACAGCTGGGCTGGAAGAGTGGACCACCGAAGATGAGTTGAGGTTCCAAGCCACGCTCGTCGTCGGCAGTCTGGCGAATGGTGAGCACGCAATGCAAAAACATGAGATGAAAGAGTACCTAGGCTGATATGTACGACGTACAGGCGGACCTGCATTTGTTGCGCCACTACTGGCTGGTGATGTACTACCTCCGTTGCTCGAAGCACTACGACCAAGCGAAACACCATCCAAACTCGTCACCGCGACTCTAAAGACGCTCAATCAGATTGTCGATGCTGTTGCGCAAGAAAAGCCATGGCTCGACCTGTCAGGCTCGTCGAAGCCATCTCTCGCATCGGCCGTAAGTGAGATTATATACACGAAATCAACTGTTGAGAGTCTGTCTGAGATTTTGGCGCAAACGGCGGGTACCATGAAGGTCAACCAGCAGATAGAATCGGCCATACGGCTGATTACAAAGACGTGTCGAGAGGACAGCCATAAAAGAATCTTGGTAAATGCAGATGTACTAGATCTGCTCGCTGAACTACTTGCTGGTGTTGCAGCTATGGACGATCGCATCCCTGCTTCGGACAGGAAGCGGTCGAGTCGCGAGCAGCTTCCTCGTGCCTACCTGTCGGACATCCTGGAAGCAATCTCAGCTATTATCAAGGACTCGCATTTCTACACTGCACAATTCCTCTATTCGCAGCCGATACAACAGCTCTTTGGTTGGCCAAAGGAACGCTCTGCAGGAACTTTTGATGGCAACAACACGCCGCAGACGGCATCATGGGACAGGTTAATACCGCGAGTACAGACTATGGCAAGCAAGTCAGATCCGTACATTAAGCAATGGCCGGCTCTTGGTGCCTACTCTTCTGGTCCGGCGGACAACTATTCTCGGCTACCAAGCATGGAGTCGCTGCAGCACACTTCGAGCCGGAACACCATCTCGGATGAGTCCGAGTCTCCGCTGTTCATATGGCTCATGTATGTGGCACGGCGGGGTGAAGCCAGAGAGCGCCTGTCTGCTTGTTGGCTACTAGCATTGCTCAAAAAGTTTGGCGAGCGATGGCCGTTGAACGACCCGTCAAAGACGACACGCGAGAAGCACTTTTCGTATCTGATTATTCCGCTTGTTGAGAAGATGATTGAGGACTCGAGCCCGACATCAGAGCATGCCAAAAAGGCCAGTGCCATGAGCCAGACAGCCAGAGATGAGCTGCGCCTTGTGCTCGAACGCTCCCCAATTGTTCTTGCGGAGCTTGTTACTGGAAATAAAGCACTCCAGACGGCTGCGGTTCATTCTCGCATTCTTCCGACTTTGATACAGATTTTGAAAAAGTCGTTCGATATACCGCCGACGTCGTCAAAGCCACTTTGGCAGCCGAAGCCGACATCTCACGAAGTCATGGATCCAAATATCGACCATGCTTCATCGACTCTGGGTCGAGCTGGGCTTAATCCCGATATACTGCATGCGTTTAAGTATCGAGAAAGCGTTTTGCTGGCATTGGCGGCGATGGCTGGTGACCAAGACTCGTTGAGAAAGATGGTGATTGAGATGGGTGCGGCAACGCATATCATTGAAGCTCTAGTTCCGTACAACGAAAACAGCGAACCAGGAGCATCGTCCTCGCCAAAGGATGGTAACCCTGACGCTGTTTTGATTGCTGCATGCAAGCTCACACGGTCATTGTCAAGATCGGTCAGCGTCCTCCGAACGAGTCTCATTGATCACGGTGTTGCACAGCCAATCTTTGAGCTTTTGACACATCCGAATGTAAAGGTGCAGATTGCAACTACGGAGGTCATCACTAACCTGGTGTTGGATGTGTCACCTATGCGGACTGTGAGTGAAACCCGACACTATTGACTTCCTAGCTAACGATGAGCAGGAGATTCTTGAATCCGGAGTCCTGGGCACACTTTGCGAACAGTGCCGGTCTGCCAACTTTGACCTCCGCTTTGGCAGTCTCTGGGCTCTCAAGCACCTGTGTCTTGGATTACCCCATGCTATGAAGATACAGTGTCTAGAGGAACTCGGAGTAGGCTGGCTTGTCCAAGTGCTCAATGGAGAGCCATCTAAGCCTGCCATGGGCACACCGAATGCAGCAGGAGAGCAAGTCGACATTCTTAACGCTGTGGAGGAGCCGCATATGGATGTAGACGATGAATCAGGTTCTGAAGACGACGATGATGCGATGACGGAAAGCATACCATCAATGCGGCGACATCAGCGCCATGGTCCTCGATACACGAGCGCAACAAACATTCGAGATCGACTACAACAGATCAAGAACGATGAGCAAGACCATCGCCTGAACGGCGAACGTGACGATATCCGTATCCAAGAACAAGCACTCGACTTTATCCGCAACTTTGTTTCCGAGGATAAGGCCTCTGGCGAGATGATCGACCACCTCCTCAAGACCTTTGGCCACAGCCGCTTCTTCGAGATCCTCGACTCCAAGATCCGCCCCAAAAACTCCTCCGCCTCGAACTCATCCTCCCAAACCCAAGCCAGCCCTAGCACCCCGAGTTACTGGCCCAGCGGTACCCACCGCCCACCCTTTTTATCCTCCACAACACCCATGGGCCAGCCCAACTGGAACAGCTACCCAGCCTCGGAACTCATGCTGGCTACAATTTTTATTCTTATCCACCTCGCCAACGGCCGCCCCCAGCACCGCTCCTTGCTCATCTCACAGACTAGCCTGATGCAACACGTTCTCCCGCTGTTTACGCATCCCCGCCGCGATATTCGTGTAGCGTGTGCCTGGATGCTGCATAACCTTGTCTGGGTCGAAGATCACACGGATGAAGCGGCTACCAGGGAACGCGCGCTGAGTCTCCGCCAGTTGGGCTTTGAGGAGGGTGCCAAGCAGTTGAGTCGCGATATGGATCTTGATGTTAAACAGCGAGCGGTGGTGAGTGTGGAGCAGTTTGACAAGTTGCTCAATAATGGGAGTGGAGGTGGAGGGAGGAGCGGGTTTGCGTCGAGTACCGGTGGGTTTGGGGGTACTGGGGGTGCAGGTGGTGGAGGTGGAGAAGGGAGTGGCGGGTTGGGGGGTATGGGGAGTAGATTGAGTGGGTTGCATGGGTGGAGACATGATCCTAGGGGTTAGAGGATGTTGTTGTTGTCGTTGATGATGATGATGATGGTGGGGTTTATCTCTCCACAGCCATGTGCGTGAAATCAGTGTTATTTGTGCTTGTGTCTCGTGTGTTGTTGTCTCTCTTATCTTTTCTTCGAAAAACACTAGTATATACCGGGGTTTAAGCGTGTAAAAGTATGGGAAAATGGAAAAACGAATTAGGTTTTAAGAAGCTCGTATTTATTATCACTTTTGATCTCTCATGTAGACCCATATGTTTGGAAATTTCCTTCCTCTCCCACACACACACACACACATACGAGCCTTTTGGAATAATTACAAGTACCACGTCCCATTTTCTACACCCACTCCTTTGGCTTCCTTAGCACTTCAAGCAATCTCTCCTCCCTACTGCCCTTCTCAGGCGCATGCATATACTGCCAGCGGGCCGTAAGCGGCAAGCTCATGAGGATACTTTCTACGCGGGATCCGGGGGTATTAAGTCCAAACGCGGTACCCCTATCGTGGACGAGATTAAACTCTACATATCTTCCGCGGCGAATCTGCTGCCACTGCTTCATTTCGGGGGTGAAGGGCATGTCCTTTCTGCGATTGATAATGGGGATGTAGGAGGGCAGGAAGGCAGTGAGGCAATCCTGGATGAAGGAGAAGAGTTGCTCCTGGTCTTTCTCTGTTTCGTCGAGGTCGTCGAAGAAGATGCCGCCGACGCCGCGGGTTTCGCCGCGGTGCTTGTTGTTGAAGTATTCGTCACACCATTTTTTGAAGCGCGGGTAGTAGGCTTTGTCGTGCTTGTCGCAGGCGTGTTTGATGGTGTTGTGGAAGAGAATGGCGTCTTCATCGTAGAGGTACGAGGGTGTGAGGTCGCAGCCGCCGCCGTACCACCATGCGGTTGTGTTGCCGTTGTCGTCGGCGGTTTCGAAGTAGCGGTAGTTGAGGTGCACGGTGGGCGCGTTGGGGTTGTGCGGGTGCAGCACCATGGAGAGACCGGCGGCAAAGAAGGCGAGCGAGTCGACGTCTGGGTCGAGTGCTTTGTGGTTTACGCGCATCTTTTGAATGGCAGCGCGGGGGAGGCGGCCATAGACGACAGAGGTGTTCACGCCGCCTTTTTCAAAGACGTTGCCGTCTTGCAGGACGCAGGTTATGCCGCCGCCGCCTTCAGGGCGCTGCCATGTGTCGATTTTGAATTTTGTGCCATCAACCTTTTCAAGCTCAGCGACAATTTGCTTTTGTTGCTGTTTTATGAATTGCTCCATCCGGAGGCGCATGGGGGATTGTTCGGATACGCCATTTTCGCGCTTGAGGAGAGCGTCTTTCTCGGCGATGGTTGGTCCTTCAGTCTTGATTGTGTCATCTGTCCACTGTGGAATGGATTAGTAGGAGTCATTTTAAACGAATGTGTATTGAATTATGGGCTTACCATAGTGTAGACCAGAGCCCCGATGAATGGCACAAAGAGCAGTCTTATCCGGTTCGGCCATTTGCTGGGTTCGGGATTGCGCCATTCCTCCAGAGGATCTGGCTTTTCTGGTCTGCTGCTTCGAGGGAGATCGACATGGCGACTCTGAGACGAGTGTAGTTGCCTACTACATATCTGACTTGTGCGTAGGGTGCGCTGTGATGTGTAGTTGTGGGGAAGCTCAAGCGCGCGAGAAATGCGGAACAAGGGTCGGAACGGACGCATAGCGGGGGGCGGGATGGTAGCAGGTCAGTTACAGTTGGACCATGAAGCAAGACAAGAGAGGATGAATTAGGCTATATTAAAAAAACTGTGAGCACAATCAACCTCGGTGCTGACGTCCCGGGAATCACACCATGGTGGGCGCACCTTCGGTGGAGTTTCCTTGGTACTAGCGGTATCGGTACCTGCATGGTGCAAACACGACAAACACGCCTCTAGCAGGCACAAGTGCAAGTGTGAGCACTATAAGGCCGGCGATGCTCGGACGTTTGCGCTTAGTCACTGCGTACTGCTCATGTCTCGGGGGTCTTGGGGAGTGAACGGCGGGTGGCGGCCTGCATCATAGATACGTCTACGTCTGCTGCGTTGCTGGCAACCAGCCTGTCGATTTGGAAGAGCAGATAGACGTTGGCTTGCATGACGTCCTGGGACAGCTAGGAAAGAAGCACTTCTTAGTGCTTCGTGGTGTCCAGTGCTGGGGCGGACACGTCGCTATGAGTGGCAACAGGTGGGTGTGCTAGGCCGCATGGCCGCCAACGCGCCGGCAAACGCGTCCACCTGGCTGCTGGCTGCTTCACGTAGTAATCGACTCTGATGTGGCGGGGAAGTACTTGATTACCGTACTGTACATGGTGATGGCCGCCTTGCAAGAGAGAAGGAGAGAAGGAGAGAGACGGGATGAGTCAAAGTACCCAGGTAGCCAGGCAGGTCATGGGAGCCGAGCAAGTGACTGGGCTGGGGCGAGGCGGTCAGCACTGCCCTCCAGACGAGTCACGCCCGGGGTTCAGCAGCAGCAGCAAAAGGGCGATGTTGTCATTGCTCAGGGGCAGTGGAATTGTGTAGGAAGTGTGCAGGTATATACGTATGTCTGTGTGGATGTTCACTTGACTGGTAGGTGAGATGCTGGTCGGGTGGGTGGTGGCCAGTGACCAGTGACCTCGGCGGCTGCTGGCGTTGGTTAGGTAAGGCGGGAGTGATGCGCAGGTATTAGCCCCGCTCTGCTGCCTGTGCTTAAGGTTCCCACACCGCACCTACGCCCTCCGTCCTACTTCCTCCGCCACGCTCAACCTCACCACTCCCACGACTCTGCGCCCTTTGCGAAACTACACATATACCCCCTCATCTCCACCCACAAACACAATCACACACACACACACATCCATACACCACTCACAAACTCCCACCATGCGTTCCAAGTTCAAGGACGAGCACCCGTTTGAGAAGCGCAAGGCCGAGGCCGAGCGCATTCGCCAGAAGTACAACGACCGCATTCCCGTACGTAGACACCGCCTTGTTCTCATCCACGACAAGCCAGCTAACAGCGCCTAGGTCATCTGCGAGAAGGTCGAGAAGTCTGACATTGCAACCATCGATAAGAAGAAGTACCTGGTACCCGCCGACTTGACCGTAGGCCAGTTCGTCTACGTGATCCGCAAGCGCATCAAGCTTTCGCCCGAAAAGGCCATCTTCATCTTCGTCGATGAGGTCCTGCCACCCACTGCCGCTCTGATGAGCTCGATATATGAGGAGCACAAGGATGAGGACGGTTTCCTGTACATTACGTATGTTGCCTCTCAATGTTTCCGCTCAGAACGCACTGCTAACAAGATGACAGGTACTCGGGCGAGAACACGTTTGGCGAGGCTCTGTAAGGGGCTCGCTTCATCCTCACATTCCCCTTATCTATCGGCTGTCGAGGCTGCGGCGAACTCGGGCGTTTTCGGATCATGGGTTTCTTGATATTCACGCAACAGTATACCGTTAGGATGATTGATTGATTTGAATGGCAGACGGCTGGTGCAACGGCAACCCGCGCAGCATCCTGGGCCAGTCAACCTTGACCAGAAGCTGCGAGGACTGATACAGCAAAGCCGAGGCGGAAAGGCACGACGACAAGCCGCATCTGTACAAGCAAGATTCGCCGTTTCGGAGAGAGGTGTTTGGGCAGATTTGGCTTCTTCTCATGAGATGCCTGTATAATTCGATGATTCAGCTTTAGTCCAAATGCACCAGACCTGATCTGTCATGACTTGATGCACCTGTTAGCACTCTGCAACATTGTCTTGTATCTTCCCGTGAACGTGCCTGAGTATGCGTACCTGACATAGCAGCCTGACTTGCGGCTTATCCGGTCATCGTCTGAAACCCACATGACGACATCGCTCACCTGATAGGCAACCGCGTGCCACCACAACCCCCACCAACATAGCCACACTCTGTATGTACCCAGGCGACAGGCATACAAATGCAACATGGAACACCCGCCCTACAAGGAAAGGGGAGTTTCTATGCAACATTAACCCTTCTAGTGCCTTGCATAACGTATCGCCCGGAACCGGGGGATCGTGGGGAAAAGCAAAAGGGCTCCAGAAGCCGGCTCCGCGCACGGACCCACTGCCCAAATGCAGGGCCCGTCGGTCGGCGGGTGGGGATCTTGGAAGATTCCTTACTTACCCCGACCTGGCAAAGAGAAGAAGACGAAGAAGTTTCAATCAACTTACATCAAACCCAACGAGGCTGTCTAAAAGTTTAAACGCTTGTACGACCCGAGCGCCGATTTTTCGACTCTTGTGTCGTTACCAACTTGTTTGAAAATTCGAAAAGTGTGCAAAAGACACAACGAGAAGCTATGCCGGCGCAGTATATAATATCAAAGTATGCTTCTCTTTTTCTCCTAACCCTTCCATGTCCTGGATCCACGGAGAAAGTAGAAAAAAAACAATGTATCCTACTCCGATTACGTCGTACTAACTGCTCAGACGTCTCGATCCCCTCTTCGCAATCTCAATCGGTCTCGCCGCTGCAGCAACCCGGATTCAGCGTGAAGAGAGAGAAAAGGGGAGGGATTTTGGGGAGAGTTGGGAGGTTTTGAGACGAAGGTGGGGGATTTTTTTGAAGGGGGAGGGGAAGGTGTAGGTGGGGGAGGAAGAGGGGAGAAAAGGGAAAATTATATAGTTCTTTCATACCCCGTTTTTTCAGAGTTTGAGGCTTGGAAGGAGGGGCTAGAGGGAAGTAGGTATCTGTGATTGAGGAAGAAAACTTTCGTGGCGAAAATGGCTGCATTTACTAGGCAAGTCCCTTTTCCCAAGAAGCAATTAATTCATTCTGATGCGAAAGAGATTTTCTACTGATAGATTTCGGTAGATAGAATACACACTCTCCTTCTTCTCACTACAACATGCCAAAAGCAATCTAAACGCTGTACTAATTTCAAAACATCCACGCAAAAGATTCATCACACTATTACATCCTCACTGACAAACTCCCCTTGCTCACTTTCCCACCCCTCCCTTCCCCCTCCTCCCCCTCCCCAACTCCTCCCCCGCAATCCGTCTCCCCTCCTCCAAACACAACCGATCCGCCGCCGAAACCCCCCTGGGCACCCTCTCCCTCGCCCCAGGCACAATCTCATACCAAACCGCCACCGCATCGAAGCTGCCGGACTCGTGCTGAATCGGATTCTTCGCCATGACATTCCTCGCTCCCCCATCTCCCGCACCCCACGCCCTCGTCTCCTCATCATCCACCAAAAAAAGCGGTCTAGGCAATTTCTGCCCTGGCACCTTTACTCCACTGACGCCCGCAATGTAGTGTCCCGCCGTGATCTCTGGACCCGAGTGGTACGTCACAGAATGTAGCTTGTACACCACGGGTTCGGCATCTGCGTCTTGATTTGCCATGTAAGCGCTGAGATTGAGCGTGTCGTTTATCCCGATTGGATTCATAATCTTGTCTTTTTCGCCGGTGACGGGGTCCATGCGGGTTAGTTTTAGACCGATGCGCAGGTACTCGGGCGTTGCGGTTAGGGTGGTGCGTTTGGTGTAGGTGAGGGGCGCGTGGCAGGCGTTGCAGGGGATGCCCGGGGAGAAGTCGTAGTTTAGGGTTCGGGAGATGGCGGCGGAGATGGTGTCGGGGCCTTTTTGGAGGGGGTCGAGGCTGAGGCCGATGCTGTGTTCGGGGTTCAGCGTGTTGGTGGTGTGGCAGGCGGTGCAGGTGTTTGAGATTGTGTAGGTTAGTTCGAAGAGGGAGGTGAATTGCGAGGTGCGGTGGCGGCCGTCTGCTGTTCTGTTGGTTTTTTTGTTAGTTTGGAATAGGAATAGGGGTGGGGGGGGCCGGGGGGGGGGGGGGGGAATACGTACTCGAGGTTGAAACTTGCTTCAATGCCGTCCCAGATCCGTACGGCTAGTTCGTCGGCATCTTGCTGTGCAGTCATGTTCTCGCGCCTTTCTGCCCGGGTATATCGGTCAATTTGCGCTTGGCTCATAGACGGGCGTTCGCTGCGTAGGTCGTCAATCTCGTCGGAAAATCCATCTGGGTTTTCGCAGAAGTAGCGCTGGAAAAGCTGGTACAGTTTAAACACTGAATCGTGGGTATACTGAAAGGGTTGGGGATGGTATGGTGCAGTGTCGTCGACCATGTCATTACTCCAATAGTCTTTGATAACCGCCTTGAGCAGGCAAGGAAGACATCCGCTGTAATGCTTTGGATCATGTTTTTCTATATCTGAAGGTCGAATTGTGCCGCCGTTGGGATTCTTATCGTAAGCAGCACTCTGTTTCAAAGTCATCGTCTTGTAGCTTTCGTCTCGAAGAATGCCCTGCGTCATGGCATCGAGGCAGTCAAGGCTTCGATTTCGATCATTGGGATTGCAAGGCCATCTTCCGCCGCCAGAATTGTGTTGCTTGATCCAGTTGACGAAGCGGGGAAAGTGGAAGAATGGCTGCAGTGTTGCGTTGCGATAGCAGTCGTTGCCAGTGTTCGTGATACCCCGAGGCCGTCTACTTCGCCGCTTGATGTCCCATTTCTTGCTGATGCCGTTGGCTATGAGGCGCTGTTTACGTTGCTCTGGACCTTCTTTCGCCATGTTTTAATCTTCTTTGTCAATTTCGTATACTGATGCCAAAAGTGGAGTGTGGAAATATTGTTGAAAAGGATTTTAGAAACATCAGCAGATGTATGGCGAGATGATGAAGGGGAGCATGGCGTCTTTTTGGAGACATGATTTCTAGTCAAATCTAGAAGACAAACTTCTTTGCTCAATATCAGGTTCTGTTGTGTTGAATGCCATTGTTAGTGTTGATCAAACAATAGGAAGTCAAAGAAATTGTGTATTGTTCGTGTCACATTAGAGTGCTGAAGGGAATTGGAAAGAAGTGAAAAGAACATCTTCACAATGCATTGTGTGTAATGAATTCATTCATATGAGCGAGCCGCTACCAAAAGAACAAAATACAGACTCGCCCCTCGTCTGCGCATTCGCACAAGTCTGGAATCCACAATGGTTTTCCTACGAAATAACACGCGTGCCAAGTATGTAGATGAAGAGTGAGAGCGAGCCTGTGAGCCGCGGGCGCGCCATACTGCAAGCGTGTAAACGATGAGCGAGGAGGTTGCTTATAACGTCCAATCATAATGCGATTTCTCTTTGCGGGGCTTCGTTGTGCAGACTATGTTCATGTGGCAGTCGGTTTTGAGAGGGATAATAGTCAAAAAAAAGTAGATGCCAACTAGTATACGTATCCCCCGCTCCCGCGCTTCGGTCACCAGCTCTCTCAGGGCCATATCAGCATCTTGTAGACATTTATTGAGATCCTGCTCGGATATTGCTTCGAAATCAAATCTTAAAGCAAAATCCTTTAGGACTGCCAATTGGCTGGCGAGCTTATCTAGCGAGGAAGGGTCGGTGCGACTTTGTTGTTCGGCGGCTTCGTCGTCTACCTCGTTAACGTCCATAGCAAGTGCTATTCCATTGCCTTCCTTTTACTCTTGCTAAGCAGGTGATGGTGCTAGCCCAAACGCAAGAATACCTCGACATCCGACCGCAAGAAAAAAAAGACGGCTCGCCAAGGCTAGCAAAGCAAAGCAGACAGCTCAATGAAGGCTTATGTACGCCAAAGGTGACTTACTCAAGGCGCAAGCCGCACTCAAAGCTGCAATTCTCAGGGCTAAAGCGGCAAATTTGAAACTTAAGCTCTTAGAGTATGGCTTTGGTTGCTGGATGGTGGGTGGGCCATTTTCGTCCTCCACATACACGGCATCGGTTACCAGTATGTCCAACATTGGACAATGATCCCAGAATATCTCAGGGATCTTGTGATAACGGCCGTTCATGTTCGAATTCTCGTTCAGGATTCGAGGATTCGAGGCTTTGTAAGGAGCGGGAATTGATGGGCGCGTAAGAGTTTCTTCGTTTTTGAACTAACATCTTTGATATAGTAGAAGTCAAGGACATGTAGATGTGATAGATTGTCCTTCTCAAAAACAGGAATCTCGAGCGGCGAGTCATTGTTGAGGAAATGGATCTGTAGGTGACGAAGTTCGGACAACGCAAAGACTGGCCTAACTAAAAGTCTGACTTGCAGGCACATGGCCCTTAAAGCCGAGTATCCTCCCCACCCAATAAATATATACTACTGTCCACTTCTATACTCTTCTATTCTCGTCTCGTTTCCATGGCAATCCGTCTACCTTGTATACGATATCCTTTTTTAAACTTTCCCACTTGATCTAGTGCCCAATAACCGTCTCCGAATCTCTGTTCTCTACTAGCGTATTCCTTAGTAGAGTTTTAAATTACTGACGCTCAAGTGTGTTGACCTAGATATCTAAGTCTAGGTTGTAGAGGATGTAAGCATAGCAGGAGGCTGCCAAATACCCAATGCGGTAGATGCGAAATAGCACCTAGTCTTGTTTTGCTTACCGGTCCTAAAGCTCCATAAGGACAAGGAAATTTGCTTCGGTAAGTATGACAGCTTCGGCGTAGGCCATAGAGATGACCATGATCCGGGGGCTATAGAGATCTCGCCATTGCCTTAGTCGGTCTTTACGTGTCTTCTCGTCCATGTTGCTATACAGCACTAGCACGTTACCATCACTAAATCTTTTTTTTCAGCGCGAAGTACGTTGTAAGCTGAGTAATCGGCTTATACGCCGCCACCAGAGCCTTGCCAGGGATTTCCTTTGGCTCCCAAGAAGTCTCCGTCGGGTTCCTATATTTCAGATCTGGACGTACTGAGTCCAAGGCCTCTTTGCAAATACTCAAATAACTTGCTTTAATTTAGCATTTTCCGCAGCGAGTATATCTACATATTTCCTCGTCGGAGCCGTATCTTCTTAACGAAATTGATACTAGATTTCCTTCTGCAGGTAATCGGACTATCCCTTAAGTCATATAGTCAAGAGAATTTTGTGATCTCTCTACAAATCGCTTTGCTAGTCGCTAATTCATCTTATTAAGGCGCGCCTGTCACCGGCGACCCATACTGATGTTCTAATCCGCGTTCACCCTTGCTCTTGTGAGAAGCTCATCATCAGCCAGAATTCTGGCGGAGGCTTCAATAGATCCCGATAAAAGGAACATTACAATAAATATGGATTGAAAGGTGGTTTCGGGAGAGCCCGGTGGAATGTCACATGATGCACGTGACTTGAAGTATATAGCTAGACAGGAGATCCTTCCTGAGAGGATAACAATACAATACCTTTGGTACCATACCGGTTCTCCCGAGGCGTCGTGACATCTTGTGGCAGGCCGCTAAACCCTATTCGGCCTACAAGCCTTCCCTTCACCATTCACCACTACCTCATTAGCAAACACGTCGTCGTCACTAGAGGTGGCTAGATACCTACCGCAACCTGATATAGCCACCTTTGTACAAACTTCGAAGCAATTGTTTACGACCGAGGAAGTGCTATACAAAGCAATTAAGCTCGTGTATTAGACTTCGCCACAGGTCTTGGGTTTAGTTCGCTTTCTCTACCGATACCCCTTCTTCACTTCAGCCACCAGAGCAACCGAGATAAACGCCGCTGATTTAGAGAGAGACGAAGCGCAACCAACAACCGCCATCAAACGACCACCGCCACGTGCGGGATGCGGTTGAGGAAGCTTACAACATGTCCCGCGCCAGCTTTTATGCCTCCACCTGTATTGGCCTTGCTTCGATCGCACTTACAATCACCATGGCGGAGAACATCAAGTCTATCGATTGAATGATAGCTGGTACTAGCTCCGTGTACACATCTTTGGAGCTCATAAAACTCATCGAGAGTTCCAATCTCTCTCCCTCTACCACCAAAAGTAATCCGAAGACATTTTAGTACTTTAAACTAGTTTATTTTAATATTACGTTTCGCGGGAAGGAGTTCTTATTTTTGAGTTTTAGTGTTGAAGAAGTTTTTCTGTTTTATATTCTCCTTTTCGGAATCCTGTAACAATTTTAGTGATAATTGCAGTGTATCTAGCAACTTCGGAGATAACCACGTAGCAAGCCAATACGACCCCATTGAATAAAACTCATAGTATATGCAAAAGTCTCCTGCAGTCTCCTAGTCTTCCCTGCGCTTCGCAATTTAGAATGGCGCCTCGATATTACCGACGCATGTGTGCCAATAGTACCAAGTCTGGAGCGCCTCATCATACACGGCTCGACGGATCAGAACGTGTCTTTTAACCTCATGGCCATGGTCAAAAACACCAAGAGCCAGCTCATGGAGGTGGTAGTGTTGGGTATGGATACGACAGCACCGCTGACGGAGCTGTCGCATTCGGGCCACCTGCAACATCTCTGTAGCCTTCGAATGCGCGGTTTCTCAAAGCATCACAAACAAAACTATCATGAACTCTTTAAGTTTCTTGATCGGAACTCTCCGCAGCTTGAAACAATCGACTCAGACTTTGAGTACACGGACTTCGATAACAGAGGCCAGGAAACTATTCCCAAGTCCCTACAGCCCCAACTAAACCTGCTTACCAACTTTAAATACGCTAAGATTCACAGCCAGCTCCTGTAGTCGAGCCCATTTAATATAGACTTGCCAGAGATATACAACGCGCTTCCACCAAACTTAGAGTACTTAGTCTCAGTAGGCTTGGATCTTGACGCCATCCTTCAGCTCAATGAGGATGACAACGAAGAAGAGAGGGAGAACAAGATAGTAGACAGTAACGAGGATATTGTTGTCACTGACGAGGTGGACGACGAAATTCCGGAGCAAAGCGACCCCGACCCGTTCTTAATACGCCATTTATGCGCGGTCTTACCATACCTAACACGTTTTGGGTTCAGGTTCGATTTTAACGTAACACTATATTTTGATCAAGATCAAGATCAAGATCAAGATCAAGATCAAGATCTACAGCTTACCGATCGGGCTTCGAGGAAGTTGGTGGCGAGTACAAAGGCACTAGGTATAACACTGGGTATCTAGGTGTATGACATAGAAAGTGACAGCCGCGACACATGCCACACAGGCAATGACGTACAGGTGGCGCAGGCAAGAGAGTAGCTGTTATCTGCGAGTATGTAGAATTGCAATCTAGCTGGGAAAAGGCATAGCGCTGTAGTAGGTTGTAGCGGGTGATGTAGAGCGGCGTTTTTGTGTAGTTAGATTAATGTTGGAGCGAAAACAATCTGTCATATCAAACAATACTGCTATTGAAATTAAGACTTGCCACCTCGCCAAGCCAAGCAGTGAATGCTTACTTACACAATCAGTGAAGGTGAAAAGCCAAGGCACTGTTTTAGTGGGCAGTTTTTGTTTGCGTTTATGTAATAACAAACATGTATATGAATTCACCCCGAAGCTAGTATAGTATATAGTGGCGCTCCAAAACATGCAAGCAGACAATCTTATTTCCTACTTCCCTGCCAGATAAAGCGTCCTCAACCCCACACACAGTCATCGATATAACACGGAACCTCTTATTCTGCACGATTTATATGCGATAGTATTAGTTGCGCCCAGCACGTTGTTGTCGGTTCTCCACAGTAAGTACGCTTCAATCTTATATCCCAAACGTTCTGACCTTCTACTAGGCGCCGGTAGCAAAGCTACTCATAGCGGAGCACTTTAGCCTCAATAACCAAAACAATGGAAACGAGTATTACGAGTACAAGTTGAACGAGAAAAAAGCCTTAGAGATCCTATTCGAGGGTGGCAATTACAAGCAATAGTCGGCGGGGCAGATATACCATGCTGCAGAACAGGCTGTTCCCTTGCTGAGCCAGGGAGAGTGCAGCGAAGTTTTCTGCCTCCTCCAAAACTCGACAAAATTGCGCCAAAAGTTCTCTTTACGTTTTTTCTTCGCACCAAAGCAGATTCAAATACGACACGCCTACTGGGTTGACGTGATAGAACGCATCTGCAAGCTTGCGCAGTCGAAAATGGCTGATGTCGCTGCACATGACCAGCACGGGCAAGGGAAGTTCACTCTCTTGAATGACCCCAAAGACAGCGAAAAATGCCCTAGCGACTGCCCAATAGCAGAGCAGGGGCAGCCCGAAGAACCTGAATACAGCACTACCTCAGCTGACAAAGTCCTCTTCCTTCGCTTCTTCGAAGAGATTGAATCATGTGTGGCCCAAGCAGAAGCTTTATGGAGACGTGTAGCCTTGACAGAGCTAGATCTATCAACAGCTTCGACATGTATTTACCCCGTCCCATGCGCTGGTATTTATAGTTGCTGACTTAACTTCTTCAGTAACAAGCTTATACATCCCTACCGATCTCTCTCGGGTTTGGACTCTATATGTCGGACCGAGCCTGAAACTTGCACTAAACGTATCCTAGGGACACAGGAACGAATATTGTAGGCTGCCTATCTATCTTGAATCTCATAACAGGCGGCGCTAAGAACTCCATAAGTTCTCCACTCATCAAATCGGAATTACCGCCTGCCTTTGCGTCAACCCTAACTTAATTTTTCACAGAGGATAAAACTCGTTTTCAATGCACAAAAATCTTTAACACTTCGCTGGTTATAGTTATAACAGCTTCGGATTCCTGGCAAGCTGGCTGAAAATCAACTATGTTTTCTGCATCCGGCTTTTCTTATACGGAAGCAGCATTCTCCAGCTTTTCGCTTACATTTATGAGCGTGTACGACTCCGCGACAAACACATACACAGTAAATTGGAAGAATTGCGGACGATCAAAGGATCAGTGGCCTTCTTTTTCTTGACGGGCGGCCAAAGAATCTAGAAGAATGCACAACGGGATTCAGAGGTGGTCCGATCCAGCAGGAATATGGAGCAATCTTGATCTTACCCGGCGTATCTTTCGTTCGAGAAGTAAACCTACTATCGCTCAGCAAATCACGGGAAAAGATGGCGGCCTGACATGCGAAATGACAAAGCAGCTGAACGACAAAACACGTGAAGAGTATCTGAGATGGGAGCTTGATATTCCTGACCTGGTTCGACTTGAAGCCATCTTGATAGGTGCGGTCAGCAGAACCACGAAGAGACACTCGATTGAGGCAAGTGAACAGGCCTGGCTTTATCTTCGGAGAATGATAGTTGATCGTCCAAAAAAAGGAAAGAAAGCTTCTTTCTAAATTCATGGAAGGGACGTGGTGCTCCAAGATAATAGGAGACCGTAGCTCCGACCCTACCACTTTAGACGACTACGAGGAGAGGTTGGGGAACTTGAATGCATTGCGGCAAACTTCTGTCAATGAGGCGGTGCTCCAAACACTACCATCAGCCGACGACTTAGACCAAGCCAATGTTTCCCAAATCAACAACACCCTAGTGGGGCGATACAAACGCATGATCGGGCTAGGTAACCGAACTTTCTTCAGAACCATGAACTACTACTTTGGAATCGCTACATGTGTGTCACGGCCAGCCGATGAAGTGTGGATCTTGGAAGATGCAATGACGCTTTTCTTGCTGAGGCCAGTTCCAGTAAGAGGGGAGGTCTATGTCTATGGTATCATGAACGGTGAGAGAGTAAGAGGCAGTGTGAACCCGGATTGGAAGCCTATATGGCTCAAATAACTTCTCCATTGTATCTTTAGCGAGCGACGCACCAGGCCTAATGACCTTCAAGTATTCTTCCTTCTACAAACGTGAATACCAGATTCTTCATCGTCTGTGCTGGTATTATGTCTAGACATTAGATTCGAATTTCTCTTTCAATGGCGAACATAGCGTTCTTCTCCAAAGTTAAAGTTGGCTGTACTACCGCCTGTGACATGAGTTCCTGATACCACATATTTCCCTAATATAGTCCGATTGAATACAGGTTCATTATACTTCCGCGAGTCTTCATTTTGGTCTTTTGGGATGTCGCTCTGAGGTGTATCTGAAGGCCCTCCATCTGCGGATAAGTCGATCTCCCTACGCAGTCGGGCAAAGGCCTTCTTCCGACCTTCTCCGTATATAAGCGGTATATTTACATCAAAGATACCCAGAAGTGAATATGCCATGTCTTCTTCGCGCTTTGTCTGGCGTTTTTGCGCCCACGACAGGCGCTCTTCTATGCTGAATCCGACTAACGGACTTCCTTGAAGAGCTTCGATGCTTATTCCAGTGATGCTGTGGAGTCCCTGCAAAAGCGAGTATTTGTTATTCAGTCGCTGGCCTTCGACTGAGAAGAATTCAACCGATGCGGGAGCTAGTAGCTCTTGGATCGTCCATCCTCTGGCCATCCATCTGCTTTGCTGAAAAGCAGGGTACCATTCTTGTCGGTCTGATGATCCACTAATTGGGGTGCCAGCTGAAACGTCAGAAAGATAAACGTAACATCGCGCGGCATCGCGATACCAGGCAAACATGGAGTTGATCGCTTCGGTGAGCTCTGCACTGCTCGATTTGTCGATGCAGCAGGTGTCTACCCAGAAATAGCAGAGGCCATTTTTGGCAACCTGATCTTCACAGAACCGTAGCTTCTTGTAACCTGGCTTGGAAATATATGTGTCTGTGTCTTTGCCGAGATCTGCGAAGGTGACTTCGTCATGATCTGGCCCCCAGGTGTGAGACAAGATGGCGTAACGGGGAACGGTCTCCCCTACAAATTCTTGCAGGATGTATCCGCCATAGTCGTTGCGTCGTAGCAGGCGCATATTGAATAAATCAAATTCAATAGTTAGCACAAAGTTACATAGAAAAGAAGTAGGAAATACTGAACATCGCAGAACTTGAAGTACACAAGGCTGAAACTGATACTCTCCTGGCACATTCCTATCCAGGCAGCACACATAGCTGCAAGTCGTCTGACTTCTCTCTCTCTCTCTCTCTCTCTGACCAGAAGGTTTTACGAAGTCACTTCTCCGCCGCACCATGACCAGCACGTTCCACGGGCCCCTGGATGCTCACACCGCCATCACAGCTCCACACTGTGGACCTGGTGGGACGATGAACTTCAACTTTGGGTCTGGCCGAGCGGATAACGGTCTGCCAGCACCTCATCGTCAACTTGAACCTTTCTCCACGCTGCCGTTTGCACCAGATCCGGACTACGTCGACCGGCCCGATATCCTCGCATGGGTGCGCGACAAGTGCGCGGGAAACGGAGCGCGAGCAGCGCTGGTGGGTCTTGGCGGAGTAGGGTATGTTGACGTATTGTAGGCCTATTGCAAGATTAATACATTGATATGTAGTAGCAAATCGCAGATTGCGATACAATACGCCCATAGCATCCACGATGCGAGCCCGCAGACATTTGTCTTTTGGGTACATGCTAGTACCCGCGCCCGGTTCGAGGAAGCGTATAAAGATATCGCAGACCAGCTACAGCTGCCAGGCAAGGACGAACCCAAGGCGAACGTATTACAGCTGGTTAAAAACTGGCTGCGGGATAAGAGAAATGGGAGGTGGTTGATGGTATTAGACAATGTTGATGATGTAGAGACCTTTTTCCCATCACGGAAGCGCAAGCGGGATGAGACAGATACCGACAGCCCTACTTCCCTGGCCACATATGTTCCCCAGAGCCTCAACGGGTCGATATTAGTTACTTCACGGAGCAAAGATGCGGTCTCCAGCCTAGCAGGCGGTCACAACAGGATTCGCGAGGTGCTTGCCATGAGCATAGGCGAGGGCCTCCAGCTGTTGCGCAACAAACTATGCAACCCGCCCCTTGAGAAGAGCGCTCTAAAACTGTTACACGCACTCGAACATATACCTCTTGCTATCATAGAAGCGGCTGCGTACATTAACCGATGTACAAACATGACGGTGTCACGTTATCTGGACAATTTTCAGAAAAACAAGACGAATCGAGTGCGTTTGCTGAAGTGCGATGTAGTGGAGTTGCGTCGAGATCAGAGTGCCTCCAGCTCTATACTGAATACCTGGCAAATGTCATTCGAGCAGATCCGCCATGAGCGAGAATCGGCAGCCGATCTGTTGTCGCTCATGAGCTTCTTTGACTCACAGGGCATACCAGAGTGGACATTGCGGCGATTCAGAAAGTACATGGTAAAGGCGACTGGCGTAGAAGATGATGAAGACGAAGACCAACACCAAAACCAAGACGAAGACAAAGATGAAGAAAATGGAGATGATAATGATGATTATGGGTTTGACGAGGATTTAACTACTCTACGAGCGTACTCCTTGGTATCGACGACCGCAGATAATGTATGCGATATGCACGCTCTAGTGCAGTTCTGCACACGAGCATGGCTGTCGTCTCATGGTGATGCAGAGCGATGGGAAGGAGAATTCATAGAGCTAACGGCGCAAGAGCTGATAGCGCAAGAGCCGCTTAATGTGGTTGTCAAGAACTGGGAAAAGTGGCACCAGCTGTTTCCGCACGTGGAACTACTTTTTAACAGCAAGCCATCCGGTAAAGATATATTGCTGTTGTGGACCCGAGTTCTGAAACATGCAGCGTTCTATCTATTTGAAAAAGGGGACTATACTGCTGCAACACAGGCTACAGTAAAGATACTAGCTATTGAGGAGAAGAGTTTGGGTCCCAGTGATATGACAACTCTGTTTACTATGTCACTATTGGCGGTGATGTTTCAGAGTCAAGGTAGGCACGAAGAGGCAGTAAGACTCAGCCAGCAAGCGCTAGAAGCAAAAATGAGGGAGCTAGGAGAGTACCATCCTAGTACTCTAGAAAGTGTGACACATTTGGCATCAGCACTGCGTTCTCAAGGCAAGGACGATGAGGCAGAAAATCTTTATCAGAAAGCTCTAGCGGATTGCAAGAAAGAGCTAGGAGAGAAGCATTACTCAACACTGTCAACTAAAAGCAACCTAGCTTCATTGATGTGTAGTCGAAAAAATCATAGCGGGGCAGAAAATCTCTATCAAGAAGTTCTAGGGGTGTATGAAAAAGAGCTAGGAAAGAAGCACTACTTAACGCTGTCAACTAAAACTGACCTAGCTTCAGTAATGCGTTATCAGAACAGGTATAGCGAGGTGGAAAAGCTACTTCAAGAAGTTCTAGGGGTGGGTAAGAAAGAACTACGAGAGAGGCATAGCTTAATCCTGCGTAGTATGAGTGATATGTCAGGAATTTTATCTGCTCAGGGTAGGTATAGGGAATCTGAGAAGTTATATCGGGAAGCATTAGAGATATCCACCAAGAAGCTTGGGGAACGCCATCTCGATACACTGATGCTTACTGGCGATCTCGCCCGTTCTTTGCACAGACTTCATCGATACGTGGAAGCAACGAAGCTATACCAACAAGCACACAACGAACTGACCGAGCAATATGGATCTCATCATCCATATACAGTGAGATTTCACCTGCTGCTTGAGATAATCCAGAAGGAAATGGAATTAGCTAGGTTATCCGGGGAAGCCCATGGTCAACAAACAGAGGACTCGCTCTAGGTGTGGGCGTTTGCGTGGTGGATTCATGCCCCAAGATATCATGTATTTAGTATCATTCTTCTTGTATATAACTACAAAGACTCTGTAATTTGAATATATCTTACTCCCTCGTGTATGTCTTTCGCAAAAGCCATGAATGAGTGAGAAAGCCTGCAGTATTTCTTTACCATAACAATGAACAAAAACAGCTACAGTCTATGTAAAGTTTCAGGAAGAGGATACTAAACATCGAACAGAGGATCATACAGTTGGGTGTAATGAATTATAACGCCTACAACCAGCAGTATTTAATAGTATACTCTTAGTAGGTACCAGCCCTCAAAACCAACATCGAAAAAACATATGAAGCAGAACAGGTCAAAGAACACCGTCCCAGAACCATATTCGTCCACACTTCTCCACCTAATCATTTCCATCACTAGCACGCAAAAAACTACATTACGCTCAAAGCATACTCAGTCATAAGTGTCATTACTCATAAGATATATATACCCATCCATGCATCATCTAATCATCAAGTCATGACCTAAACTCCACATGCTCAATGCTCATGCATGTCCGACAACGCTAAAACGTGTAAACAAGAAAGAAAGCAAAAAAAGCAAAAAACTACAATGCCAGCATACCTTCGGAACAAAAGAAAGGAACATGTCAAGTAAACCCACGCCCACTACCACGAAGCCCTCCAAGCCCAACACTAGGATAAACCTGCGCAGGCGCAACCTGAGCAGCGCCATCCACCGGCGCCTGAAGCACATGCTGCACACCACCCTGATAATACCCGGGTGTAGCACTCTGCCCTTTACCCTGATCAAACGCATACGGGCGATTCATCTCAACACCCGCCTGCGCAGCGCCATTCCCCGCAGCTCCACCCGCCGCATCAGTAGTCGCCGGAGCATTAACCGCATACCCCCACGTCCCCGTCTTAAGTTTCTGCTTCACAAACCGCACCTTCCTCACCATATCCTTTGGCATCTTCTCCTCACTCCCATCAAGCGCCCAAGTGCACGCTTTAACGACATCGCGCCACATACTTTTTTCAGTGTCGCCGAGGACCGGGTTTCCCTTTTCGCGGCGGACGCGCTCGAGGACCGCCATCATGAGGCCTTGGATGCGGTTTGTGACTTTTTCGAGGTCCTGGGTGGCTTGGGGGATGAGGATGTAGAAGGTTGAGGGGCTAGCGGGGCGAAATTGTGATTTGCGGAATGCGATGCTGACGGGGGCGGCGGTGTAGTGGTCTGGTGTTGAGGTCGAGGCGGGTCCGACGGCGAGGCGCGCGAAGGCTGGGACGCCTGGGGTAGAGGAGAAGCGGGCGAAAGGACAGTCGGCGAGTTGAACGGCGTGGTGGATGGATTCGTCTTTGCCGGCGGCGCGGCATTTGGATTTTTCGTAGCTGTCTTTGTTGATGCAGTTGTGGGCCCATTGTTTGGCGGTGCGTGGGTCGAGGTACTTTTGTACCATTTTTACTGCTTCCATGCCGTACTTGGCTTCGCTGGCTGCGCGAAGTCGAAACGCAAAGGTTACAAGTTCGTCTTGAGCTTTCTCGAGGTGAGGTCGAGATAGTGAGGAGGGTAGGAAGGTGTTGATGTAGTAGGCGTAGTAGTACATATATGTACCCAAGTAGTCAAAGTTGATGAGCTGTGACGACGAGTCGAGAAAGACAACAGGAACACCGAGCTTCTTCGCATACTGTTCTAAACGCTCGAGATCTGGTACCTTGTTTGCGCGACCGGCGATAGAGGGTCCAATGCCAGTGGAGAAGTCCAGTGAGCCAGTGATGGTAATCGCAGATATGGTCGAGCGCAAGGCCGGTGTCGTGGTGTTGATCCAATGCAACAAGAATGGTATGACTGCATTGTGATGCCAGACAATCTTCCTCTTCTTGCCTTCGAATTTTCCCATCTTCAGTACACGTTCAATCGCAATGTTGATTCGTCGGACAGTCTTCTCAAGCGCCTCGCGCTGCCCACTCAGTACACTGTTGTCCCAACCCCTGACCACAACAATCTTGCCATACGCGGCAACAGTGTCTTCGAGGTGGCTCCGTAGTTTGGCTCCAGTCAAGTAACCAACATACTCGCAGATGCGACTATAGTTGCTCCCACTACTGTTATCTTCAGCGATAATTACCATACAGCCATCCTTGGGATTCGCGCCGGCGTTCTTGCGCACTCCAAGATTGCAGAGCTTAGCAATGATTGAGGCAAGGTGCAGAAAGCTGTCGACATCAGAGTTTGACTCCCAGACATGTAGCACGCCTGGATCGCAAATCTTGTCGAGCGTTGCCTTTGAGGAAGTAGCGAAAGAGTGCTTGTACTGCTCTGGTATCGAGTGCACCAACTTCTTGAAGGAATCAAGGTCGCTAGACCAAGGTCCCTTGAAAGCCGTCATCTCCCGGCGGCGTTTGCGTCGCTTGTGCTTGTGGTGAGAATGAGGGCGCAAGCGTATCCTTTGTTGGTGATGGGAGCTCGCTAGGGGTTTCGGCGGCTGAGAGGGTCGTTGTGTACGCGGACGCGGCGACAAGTGCCGGTCGATGAAGCGATTGATATAGTTCATTGAAAGTTTCACTGGCACGGTATCTCTCTTCATGAAGGGAGAAGGGTGCAGCCGCACGCGGTTTGTTCATATCATACAAGTGTAGCGTTGGTGATCAATAAAGTTGTGAAGTGTTAGGCTACTGTTTGGAGAAAACAGAACGCGCGAGTCAGGCCCATGAGCGACAGCCGCGCAACCGATTTTGATTGAAGGTGAAAACGCGGTCAGGACGCAGTAGGTATATCCTTGAAAATGAAACATAAAAACATGATGCATGAGGGCAGACGTGGCACCACGTGATGACGAAAGATGAAGTGCGGGGTGCGCAATGAACGTGGAGATACGATATCATCAATGGCGTTTCTGAATTAGCCTATCAAACGCGCCAGCCGCAGTGAATGCCCCGATGTATTCCCAAAACTATCCTGCCATCCCATAACGCCACTCATGAATTAACGATAACAATCCTTCACCACGCCTACTTGCCAACACCACCACCCTGCTCTGACGTCTGATCTTTGTCGAGCTTCTCTACTTTTCGACTCAACAATGCGCGGAGTTCCGGACTGATCACCCTCGTCTCTTGCTCATCCCCGGCAGCCTGCTTGCCTTTGTCAGTACCAGAGCTCGTCGCTTGGTTGGCTGACGATGAGGAGCCCGAACTACCAGCCACCCCAGTGGCTGGCTTCCGCTGCCTTGCTTGTGGTGCCGAGGGAAAGTTTCCCTTTTTGTCAATAGTTTCTACTGTTCGCTGGAATCTCTTGAATAGAGACTCAGCGCGGACGAGTGTTGACTCCAGGTCCATTGTACCGGAGAGCTCATTGACTAAAGCAATGTCAGTGTTTGCTAGGTATAAAGAAGGGCTTCTTCAGGGGCCATTTCACTTACCATATTTGAGCACTTCGTCAAAGTGCTTCAGATGCGCCATGATAATCTCCCGATGCTTTTCCAGTATAGCCAATGCAATAAAGATGTGGAAGTTGCTGCTTAGGTAGTCGGTCCATAGGGACTCCCATAACCGCAGTACATCTGCCCATTCGAACTCTCGCTTATACCAAACAAGTAGCATGCGGAAGAAGAAAAAGAAGTTGGTCGACTCCGCTGACTGAAGGTGCAGGTACAGCTTAGGATCCATGAGCTGTACAAGATGATCAAGAGTCATGAGTTGCTTGCGCATCCCGGACTGATCCCGTAGGAAGTTTCGTTCCTATTTCATAATCAGCCTCTTTGTTCCAATGTTGATTGTTTATCGGAAAACTCACCATGCGGTCCATGAACCCCACAAAGCTCCAGAAGGCAACTGCATCGTCTTGCATGACTGCGTAGATGGGCGCGAGGAGATCGCTCATACCTTGTACGTAGCCAAGACCCTTGTTGTATTCGTTGTAGGTAAGCAGCATATCCTTCATCTGCTCCAAATGGACGTTCGTGCCAACATCTGCAAATGGAGAGTCGGGATCAGGATGAGGAATATCCTCACCAGCAAAGATGGGGATATTGCGATCTGTGCGATGTACATCCTTCTCTACACAACGAACCCCATAGAATGGGGAAAGTCAGTGAACATTCAAAAGAGCGAAAGCAAACACGGGAACTAACCTATCCTGTTCTTCTGCTCCCTCCACCACTCTTCTTGCTCTAGGGTGTGCTGACCTTCAGCCATCCGCTCCCACCATGCGCCTTTGAGTCGAATGTACTCGTCGCGAAGGCTGTTAATGTGGGCGCGTCGCTCTTCCTCTGAGCTCTCCCATTCGTAAACACCCAGGAGGAATAGCCAGGCCTCTTTGCGCACACCGTCGTCGGGATCCAAGCCACCGTGGAAGATCCGGTCCTTGACTTCGTCTGGCATCAACTGCAACCGTCCCTTGGAATCGAAGAAGCCCTTCCACTCTTCCAAGGTGACTGGTTTTCTTCGATCGGCCATGGTCATCTTGTCCATGTCTAGAATCTCAAAGTCGCCGACGTCGCTTTCCTCCATGGCCAAGACGTCTTTGGCTGTCCATATGCGCTGGTTTCGCTCTCGTTCACTTTGCTCGGCGATTCCCATAGCCCACCTCGCCAGATATAACCGTGCACTGTCGAACTCTTCCTGCAAGGTCTGTACCTCTGGATTCTGAATCAAGCGCCTAACCTGAGGAGGGATTTTGGGGTTGTCTGCAACGGCTTGTGCAGTCCTTCTTGTAAATGTAGTGACTTGGCTGAGCTTCTCAAGGAAATTCCATCTCGCCTCTTTGAGCGCCTTTGTTACTGGATCCATGGCTCCGTCTCTTTGTCCGCCTTGTTGCGAAGATGATGTGCCTGCTTGTCCCTCTGTGCTCTTTCTCGGTGCCACATCTCTTCCAAATGATTTCTTGTCTTCTTCAGAGGGATCAATGAGATATATGCTCGGGTCGGCCCCCGACCGCTCAACTGTCACGTATCGTTTGAGCCATCTGAGTACCTCGTCGCCGCCCCAGAACATG